TCCGACCAGCAAGGCGGTGGCGGTTATTACCAGAGGAACAATTACGGTCATTACAGGGGACGAGGTGGGAGAAGTTCAGGTGGCGGCAACTACAATCATCACCATGGGCCAGCCGAGCATGCGCAGGTTGCTTCTTCCTGATGCTCGTGTTGATCTTTCTTTTATAAAGGTGTTTTTTGTGGGGCTTATAATTTTGTTTTCCTTTGTTTGGTAATTATGGAACATTTGGAGTGGTTTCATGGGAACTTTTGGACTGGTTTTAATGAGGGTGGAAATGAAATATGTTTCTCGCTAGTTGTGCTTTTGATCCAGATTTATGTGCATGCCTCATTTACTTTCATAGTCCGGATTAGACAAAATAATCCTGCCAAGTTTACAGTGTTGTCCTATATTTACATTATGGGATTAAAAATTGCTAAACTTGTCAAGCATTTACTTTGTTGGACTAAATTAGAAGATAAGACCCGGAATGTCCAAATTGCCCTTCTATTCAAAACAATGCGAACACTCCATTCAAACAGGTTCCACTCATCCAGTAACACAGGACTCGAGATTCATAATCAAAAGCAACAGAGCATCATCCATAACTCATTTCAAGTAAAGTTATAAACATTTCTAAAACATAAGATACGAGAAGCAAAACTAACTACAGAGTGTTTGGACAGCCGAAAAACCATCCACAGGGTTTTTGCACAGATCTTGAATTAAGCTTGAACTGAAATGCAATTTACCCAGATTCAAAAGATCAGTAGCTAAAGACAGCTAATCTCATAACCAACAGCAGCAGTCAATTTAAGAGAGAGAGAGAGAGAGAGAGAGAGAGAGAGAGAGAGAGAGAGAGTATGGCATACGCGAGGGGAGGAAGGGAGCCGGAGTCTAGAGGCACCTCATCGCCGGGGAGGGTCCCACTTTGCTCTGCTTCTTCTTCGACAACGGCAGTATCAGACAAAGACACGGCCGAAGTAGGAATCTTGCTAATATGCGCCGGTGGTGGAGAAACTTGGGGTTGGCTGACGCCGAGAGAGGAAATTAAGAAACTGTGAGAACAGAGGTGAAAATGCTTCAGTGACGGGGATAATTTGTGCGTCGGAGGCGGTGGTTTTGGAGCGGAGAGGGGGAAGAAAGTGGTAGTTCTACTGCTTCCAGTCGCAACCATCTCTCTCTCTCTCTCTCTGCCGTCGACGTCGCTGGAAAATCAGTATGTTGGATAACTGGAAAATCAGTATGTTGGATAACTGCAGCCATTGGCTGGGCCTTGAACTTTGGGACATGGGAGCTTAAAATTCTTGGCCAAATAATCGACGAGGACGAACACGCTAACGGGAAAGAACAGAAAAATGCCTCACTTAAATGAGCACTCAATGGAAATAGCTGAAAGAAAAAACTTCGTGAAATAAACAAGAAAAAGAAAAATAAAAATCAATAATATATAGTTGATAAGCTCACCATCTTCCATTAAACCACCCACAATCATAAAAGCACCTCACCTCCACGAGCAAACAAGCAACACTTAAAACTTTTACAAATCTCACCACAATTTGCAAAATTGTTTCTTCTTAGCAGCTTCATATAGAAAAGCTTAAGTTAAACAATCAAACCCCAAATCTACTTACTCCTAATATGCACATCTTTTCTAGTGCAAATATAATCAGAGTATATACACTAAGCAGTTTTTTCACACCCATGAAAAAAAAAAAAGAAAGAAAAAAATTCCATGACCATCGAGAGTTATTATTAACCACTCGACCTCCCGAGAACCCTCCTCAAGTCCGATTTTTGCTCGGAACTAAGCCTCGACGGGAACTTAATATCAAACTTAATCCTCAAATCACCGTTTTTACCGGGCTCTTTCGAAATCGGCATCCCTTCATTTGGTATCAACATTTCATATCCGGGCTTGACGATATCTGCCACTTGCACGGTTAAATTGCGACCATCTAAAGTCGTGATGTTCAGTGTCTTTCCCGTGAGGGCATCGAGCAGAGATATTCTTTGATGGGTTATTAGATCATTGCCATCCCTTCTGTAAACGGGATGTGGCTTTTCTTCCACGATGAAAATAAGGTCCCCAGGGGCAAAACCGTCCTTTTGGTTGCCCTTATCGGGAAATGTGATCTTCGTGCCCTTTTTCCAGCCGGGCTTGATGTGTATGGCCAATACTTCCTCGACAGTGGTTAGCTTGCTGGCAAAAGAAGAAAATTATGGAGATAAGTAGATAACTAAAGTTAGCAAGTTACTAATAAGACATCTCTGAAAAATCATAAATAGTTAAACACACCTTACGATAGCTTTATATTGGTTTGAACTCGATTGTCTTAAACAATTTTCCTTTCTGGGGGGTTGTATTTCGATAGGAAAGAAAAAAAAAAAAAGGAAAAGGAAAGAAAAGATCGAGGGTTTATTGTTTGGTGAGTGAGGTTGAAAGATAGATAATTTTCTTTTCTTTTCCTTATAATTTAGACTCATCCTTCGAAAAAATTATCCAAAACAAACTGTTAGACACTGAGAATTTGCAGGAATTTTCAAACTACTAGGGCACATTGTCAAAAGGTAGTACAAATTACTCAAATCTTTCAGTTGAATTCTCCTAACATAATAGACTCAAATAGCACGAATATAGTTCACGTATAAATAGCCACTGGCCATGAAAGTTTTAACATTTATGTGAAATAAGCCTATATACGTCATTCGAATTAACATGGCACGTAAATAAAATAACATGTTGCGTCATCTATTCCATGCAAAAGTCGTAGCTAATAAGGCCCACGAATTGAGTCGACACATCACTTAATTTTCCAAAGTAATCATAGTTTTTTCCTAGATTCATTAGCACGATATCGTCTGAAGTATAAATACTGATTTTTTTTTCTAAGGTTTACATTCGTTTGAACTTGCTTCGTTAAGTAAACATAGAATCAAACCCCACGCCTAATAAGAAAGACAAGATATATTATTCGGTCATTCTTGATCACAAAGTAAACACATCAAGAAATGTTAAAACAAGAATCCTAAACATAACAGCTTCAAGTAATACGCAAGAATCGAAAAAGGGAGGCAAACCACATCAACCCTGCGTAGGATCTTCGATTCTTAATGCGTCGTCGCAGAAATTAACATACCTAATTTATTCGTAAATCAAGAAAATTGTATCGGATTGCATTAGATGTTTGACCCAGAAAAGGATAGCCACATTATTCTTTTTGCAATCAGGAAACAGTTGAACCAAAACAGGAAATTTTTGCAATCACATTCACACACAGCTAAGGCCCTCCCAAATCTGAACAAACAATATCAAACTTTCCACAATCCCACCATTATATTATACAACAGACAAAAACGGATAATGCTGATTAATAAGAAAGTTAAAAACAGAAATAAATTAAAAGTACCTACCCTGAAGCATCAAGTACAACTCTGGATATCTTCATCTTCCTCCTCGACCCCTTATACAGCTCCTCCAAGCTGCACGGCAGCTTGGTCTCCATGACCTCCG